GTGTTTGTTTGATGCTTTGACACACACTGACTCCACCTACTCCTGACCTGCCCAACATCTGTACTGGCCTCTGGCTGTGTCTTCCTCTTTTGATTTTAAACTAAGACTCAATATCCTTGGCAGTACCTCCATATGGTTTCTTCTCCAAGAACCCCTTCTTTATTTTTCCCTATAGATTCTTTGTTTTCAAAGAATAAGTGGATCAGTCAATCTGCCAGTTATAATTTAACCTATTTGCAAGTGACAGTCCTAAACTTAAAAATTAAGACTATAAAATGAGGACTGGAAATATGGTTCAATGGGTAAAGGTACTTTGTCACCAAGCCTGACAACCTACATTTGATTCCCACAATTTATATAGTGAAAGGCAAGAACCCATCAGTTCCTTCAAGTTGTCCTCTGTGTCCTCTGACCTCCACATATCTGGTGTGGCACTCCTGCATTCACACATGTGCACAAACACATGCACACAAATCAATAAATGTTTTTTTAAATTTATTTATTAAGTATACAGTGTTATGTCTCCATGTGTCCCTGCAGGCCAGAAGAGGGCACCAGATCTCATTATGGATGGTTTCGAGCCATCATGTGGTTGCTGGGAATTGAACTCAGGACCTCTGGAAAAGCAGCCAGTGCTCTTAACCTCTGAGCCATCTCTCCAGCCCCTAAATAAATGTTTTTAAACATATTTTTTTAAATATTATAAGTGGCCGAAAACTCAGGTTTTATCGGCATGGGCTGGCATGTTTTATCTCATTGGATTGTTTAATTCAACTAAAGAGCTTTTATATTTTTAAATTTTAGTTAAATTTACCAGGATTTCTTTTAAAATTTTAAACATACTGAAAACTGCTGCAAACACGATTACACTCTCTTTCAATAGCATTAGAATCAGAAGATTGGGTTTTCTCCTGCAGACTTCTTGGCATGTGATATTGTGTACCTTACTCAGTCTTAGGTCTTTGTCTATGAAATGGGGATAATGACTTACCCCGTGTCTTTCCAGGGCTGATTTCAGGCAACACACATCAAAGTACTTTGTAAAGCTTTTCGTGTAACTGCACACATGTGTGCCTAGTTGTTGGCCCTGTTGTTTCCAAGACCTTTTCAAAGTCAGCAGTGGACTTGTCTGTTTAGTCACTTAACCTTAGCTTCTCAGCTCAACCTCCTGGGCCTTAAAACCCAGTGTCTCTTGCTTCGTCTTTCTCAAGTCTTCTCTTCTGCACTAGGAAACTCTAAATTCAGCCTTAGTTGGTAGGGAAGTTCAGGCTGGATACAGGCACAATACCTATTAGGTAGCTCTGGCTGAGATGCGGTTGACTTTAGTTACTGTAGGTGCTAAGCACCCCTGATCACCCGGTAGAGGTAGTGTTTGCCAGCTTGTGTTCTATGAAGCCTCTAAAGAGAAGAATTACTGGACTGGGGTGATGGCTCAGAGGTTGAGAGCTCTGACGGCTCTTCCAGTTCAATTCCTGGTTCAATTCCCAGCACCCATAGGGCAGCTCACAACTGTCTATAACTCCAAGATCTGACACCCTCACAAGACACACATGTAGGCAAAACACCAATGCACATAAAATAAAAATAAATTATAAAAAAAGAAGAGAATTACTACACTTATGGCTGTGGTTTTGAGCTCAGCACATCAGGGGCCTCCAGGCAGACTGTGACAAAGATGTGGGATCTCTCATGTGTATAGACTGGACTCATCACAAATCCACAAGATCATGAATCCTAGATAAAGTATTTCAGCCTAGAAAAATATGAAAAATATTATGGGTTGCTCTGGAACCCTTTAACGGCACTTTGTTCTGAGAATCAGAAGTACAAAAAGGTGTGTGTGTTGGAGGAAAGACACAATGAAGATGTTTGGACTAGAAAAAGAATGCACCCTTCAAGTCCACAAGAACTTCCTTCAGTGAATGAGAACTGAAAGCTGTTAAATGCTTGCCACACGTCCAGGCCTTGAAACGGTCACAAGGCCCCCCGCAGAAGAGTGCACGTCCACCCCCTGCCTCCAGAGCACTGGGGAACTGAGAGTGCAATGACAGCTGAAGCCCATGGAGCAGAGGGCTAAGTCCTGAGAGCACACTGCTTCACATTACAAAATGCAGTTATTAAAAAGAAACCACTTTCACTAAAATAAATTTTAAATCCAGTTGTTTTCACTGACAAAAAAAAAAAAAAGGAGGAGGAAGTGGAGGAGGAGGAAAGAAGAGGAAGAAGAAGAAAGAAGAAATAGTAGCAGCAGCAGCAGCTCCTCCAAGGTCACAACAGAACCTGGTCCTTTCTTCCACAAGCCAACTTCCCCTTGCCAACATTTTAGACCCACACAACTCCTCTACTTTCTCAGTGGCCTAGACCCCAATGTTTGGAGTGACTCTTGAGTCTCACTCTTCTTACCTCTATCTAATGTCAAGTGCATTGGGGTTCTTTCCACATGTTTTGAATGCAGGTTTTCTTTTCCCTGCCCAGCCCTGCAAACATCTTCATCTAGGTCTATACACCTCAGATTAGAAGGACAAGATGTGTGGCTAACTGACATAGCTCCTGTATGTAAAGGCATGCTTACCAAATAGCAGCTGTTCAATACACATTTGCTGAATAACTGTAAGTGACAGATAAGCCATCTGATGACACATGGGCCACTGCTGGCAATCCAGCTGCTGATCTATCTAGACTGTTTGTCCCCAGCCTCTGTCTACAGCATTTCCAGTGTCGTCTTTACAAAACACCACTTCCATTAAGTCACAAATTGACAGAAAACCATCAGTGCTTCCTCCTTTCTAAGGAAAGAAGTTTAGATTTTACTCTTGTCCAGTCTGCCCCCTGCTCTACCTGCCCATTTTTCTTTCCCCATGTTGCTTCACCAAGCTGACTTGTCTCCCTGATGAGCAGACCTTCTGAGAGCATGCTCTGTGTGGTTTTCATGCATGTTATATTATTCTCCCCAGAAAACACTCCCTTTTCCTTTCAGTATGCCTGAGCCCATGAACTACTTTACCCGTGGACTCTCTGAAATGGCCTACAGTAACCTCTCCATGCTCCAGTCTGCTCTACGGGGGTCTCCATTTAGATAGGTGGTATCATGCACTGCAATTTTTACCACGTTAGAGTCTTTGCTCTGAATTTAGATTCTTTTCAATCCACAGAGCACCAGCTACAGTGCTACCAGGAGTACAGATTCCTGGAAGCCCTTAAATATGGGCTGATAAGATGGTCCTACTCAGGATGACAAGAACAGAGAAGAGGAAAGGAAGAAGAGTGAGGCTTTATATTCAGACACCCAGATAGAAGTGGAGATCTGGATCATTGGTGTATTGATACAGCAAAGAATCACTGATGAAGCTAGGCATGGCTGCTCACCCTTGTAATCTAACACTAGGGAGTCTGAGGCAGGAGGATCACTGTCATTTGAAGCCACCATGATGGTGACACAATATTCCTGTACCATGTTGCCCATCATTGGGCCATTCTCAGGCCCTTTCTGCTTCCAGAAGCCCCCAGATGGAATAAAGTTTCGTCTGTTCCTCAGAATGAGAACCTATATGATTCCATGTGATAACGGGTCCAAAAGGCAAATGGTGATTGGGTGAGTAAGGCTAGAAGCAGGTCCTTGCCCATCTCTCATGCAGCTGCCTTCTGTGTACCATGTCATCTTAAAGAGGACTGTTCCAGTCAGCACTTAGATTGTGAGAGACCCTGAGTAGAGGCCCTTAGCATAACTGTGCCCAGATATATTCCTGACAACAAACTATGAGATAATAAGTGTTGGTGTCCTAAGATATTAAGCTCGGATAATCTGTTACAAAGCATTAATAATTAATATCTAGATGGTACTGCATCTAGGAAGTGAGGATGAAAATGTAGTGAATATAGAATAACCTGATAGGACAGACCGGTTATGTGTGCAAGGCAAGGAGAGACATAGGGATGACAGGACAGGGTCACCTCTATCAAAGGATAACAGATACCTGCATCACCACATTCATGATAGAGACAGGGCGACAGTGCCTTCTCAAAGCTCTACTCCTCACTATTTAGCACTGGGACTTGGCTCTGTCCATACCTCTCCATGTCTCCTTGCAGTTTCAGAGCACTACCTTTACCGCTTACCATCAGTCACATATGTTGGGTCCGTATACAAAACACAAAGAGCCACAGGGACTTAAGACTAACTACCAAGATTAATCTATAGTCATTTATTAGGCCTGACTCTTAGGATATAATATTTCAATCAAACTATATTAATTTTTTGCTTACTATAGATACCAAAATTATTATTATTATTATTATTATTATTATTATTATTATTATTATTATTGGTTTTTCGAGACAGGGTTTCTCTGTGGCTTTGGAGGCTGTCCTGGAACTAGCTCTTGTAGACCAGGCTGGTCTCGAACTCATAGAGATCCACCTGCCTCTGCCTCCCGAATGCTGGGATTAAAGGCGTGCGCCACCAACGCTCGGCCCAAAATTATTTTTAAGATTAATTTTATATGAGTATATTTGTGTGAACTGTATGCACTGTGTATATTAGAGGAGGGAGGAATGCCATAGAGGCCAGGGGAGGGTGTCAAATCTCTTGGAGCTGGAGCCACAAGAAGTTCTGAACCCACCTACTGTGGGTGTTGGGAATTGAACGCAGGTCCTCTAGAAGGGCGGTGTGTACTCTCTAATCCAGTCCCCAAATTACTTTAGTAATAAAGTACATGGAAGCACAAAACTGTAAACAATGCACCATGGGATCTAGAGTGTAAAACCCAACCCATTCTCATTCACATATTTCTTTGAAGAATTTTAACCATTTCTCACCAAAAAGCAACAGCAACCTGGGACCCCAAAACAACTGTCATGCTGCCAAGAAGTAGGACTGAGGACAGCCTACAAGCAAGTATCCCTAAATTCCAAATTCTAACACAAACTTCAGGCATTTCACCAGGAGATAAAAGGTTCTGAGTGTTATTTACCTCGGGCTGCAACATGGCTATTTTACTTACCATTTGGGAGTCACAGGAGAATGTATGTTTTCATGCACAGGAGCCACTAACACCTGGTGGTTTACAACTTCTAGATACTTCTCAATGTGAATCTGTTACAGAAAAGTCAAAGCTCAGGCCATTATGGTAGATGTAAAATACTCAGCTAATTTACTCCATTTCATTAGGTCAATACTTTGGATTGTGTAATTAAGGCCCCCAAAATGCACAAAACACTGTGTTATTACATGCCTAAGGTATCATTAGGCCTCTCAAAGCCAAATTACTTCAAATGTCCCAAAAAACATAATGAACAATTGGGACTCAAAGCTAAGTGACCCGAAGCCCTCATCACAAATGAAACTGAACCAAAGCCAGTAATAGCTTGGCTGTGTAGATCTGACCCAGCATACCAACATGGAATAATGTCTTTCTCCTATATGAGTTTCAAGCAGCCATCTGAGGAAGACAGGATGGTAGTCACCCTAAACCCAGCTCTGCTAAACAGTGACACAGGGACCTGTGAGGACCATCAATCCTTCCTTCTCTTCTCAGTATTTTACCATCTAAAAAGCTTTACTTACTTTTAACCCCATTTCAGTCCTTTGGATTGCTGTCTCAAGATTTTGAATGTCCAGAGGGTCTTTTGTCTCCTCACTTGAGAATTTTGTTAATTTATGCTTTAATTGATGAAGGTCCTCTTGGACCTAAATACAAAAATAAACAAATAAATAAATGAAAATAGATTGAAGTATACATTGTCTATTGCAAATTTGTTGTTGGTTTTGAGACATGGTTTTATACAGTCTGGGCTAGCCTTGGATTTTTCACTACGTAGCCAAGGATGACCTTGAACTTCTTCATCCTGCTGTCTCCATTTCTGGAAACTGGGATTATAGGTGTGCACCAAACACACTGGTTTTTATTCAGTGCTGGAGACTGAATCCAGGGTGAGGCAAGCACTCTATCAACTGAGCCACATCCCCAGCCCTGTAGTTATCGACTGTACAGACCTACAGTGGCCTTGAGTTGCTAGACTCATGCTCTGTGGTATTCATTAAAAAGGACTGACCTCCGTGGCTTTAGGGCAGCCCTTATTAAGAGGATGCTATTATCATCTCAGAGTTTGGACAAGGAGCCTTCTGTGCCATTACTATTTTGTGCCGCTTCTAGAAACAGAGTCAAGATGGAAGGGTAGCCTGGATGGCTCCTGCTCTCCCAGGTGGTAAAGCAGATGGGCTGGAGAAGGTAAGTCTGCACAAGGCTCTGATTGCTACAGATAGGTTAAGGTAAGAAAACGGGGAACTTCCAGCAGAAGTGAGGCTCTAGCAGAAGTGGCTCTTTCAAGAGTACAGCAAGTGCGTCCACAGGGACTGGTGGCTTTCTGTCCTAACAGGCTCTGCCACACACTGCTCTGAGGAAGCGGTCTTTTATGTGTGCCTTTGATTTTGTTTTGTTTAGTGAGAAAAGGAAATAATCCATGAAGGGGGAAGCATCATATGTCATTGCTTTAGCTTGCCCCGCTGATGTGTGTTTTCCTTGGAAATGGTGAACATGTTTCCGTCAGGCACCCTCGGGATCAAATCGGCATCAAACACAAGGAAGTGGCTGACTCTCTGCGTGCATGTTGGAAACCAAACTTCAGATAAATGCAGATGGCACTGATTATTTCATGGGCTGCTGCCATAAGGAAAACATTTTGTTATGCTAATTCATACCCCCAGACACCTGTTTCAGCAACAGTCACACCAAGAGCAATCTGCAGATTGGGTTGCTAAAGGCATTTTGAAAAGTCTACCTGTGCTCTGGTAGGATAACTGGACTTGCATAATGGTCCAGCCTATGTTATTGTTTTCTTGGGGATGTTCCCACGGAACCTAGTGCCATATTCAAGAGGCAGAATTTGCATCTTTTCACTGATGCACATCAAAGTCTGGCAGACACATCTGATTATTTGTACTCTGTTCAAATCGTCACATAGAACCTCCAGGGCTCACAGATTGATACCTGAACACACTTACTGTTTGCCTGGAGGGACCAATGATGATGAGGCATGCCTTCTGATTCTTTTGCCCAAATCACCGCTGTGACCTGATTTACCATCTACTGCTTGAAAACATGTGCAATGTAAGGGGCAGTTCAAGGGGAGAGCCCTTTGGGGCCCTTACATTGTGGTTCCTCCTGGGAGTGAACTGGCTCCTCTCCCCTGTATTTGCAGCTCCATGAATCTTTCTATAGTGATGCCTTTCAATCAAGTGAGGGAGTGAAACTGATTTGGATTATCCACCAAAATACCAAAAGTTTTAGTTTTTCTCCATCTGCCCCTAGTACGAGCAACGACCCTCCTCCATAGAGCTGTGAGAGAATACGTAACAGGCCCAATACAGAAGAACCCCAGAAACGGCAGCTGCACAGAGCTCCTAGCACTAACTCTAAGCCTACAGTTTCGATGTATATTATCCAAAATTTTAGCATCTCCCCTAGTTGTTTTATTTTGTTTTCTTTTTCTTTTTCTTTTTTGGCCAGAATAGAATCATTTCCCTTCTTTTTGGAATTAGAAAATGAAAATGAAGCAATACAGGCTTTGTTGCCAGATGCATGTGAGCTGGAGTCCTGCCTGAACTTGGGAAGGTTCTCACCTGGAAAATAGGAATTCACACTAGCTACACTTCAGAGTGGGTGTCAGAAATGATCTGTAATGTGTTTTGTACAGGTAAGCCCCAGAGGAGGGGTGTGAAACCCTGATCCCCGGATTGAAAACCCTAGCAAAACTCATTGCATGTGACTGGCTGATGGTATCACTGCTTCATCTTTCTCAAGAGGGTTCTTAGGTTCTTGTCAGGTTATTTTGTCCTCCCCTCTTAAGAAGTACCTGTTTCTATGACTGCACTAGAGATGAACATTTGGGAAACACCACACCAGACCCACCAGGAAATGAGGTTAAATTCTAGGTTCAGTTATGTCCAATCTGCCGTATTGAAATTTTACAGGTCACCCATTATCTCTAGGAACATCAAAAATATTACTTGCCATACAGTTTCTACTTAGAAACTATTATTGTCTTGACAGTCTGGGGACAGAGTCATTATTAATAGAAACCCTTGGAAGGCTTAATGCAGCAAAGATTTGCTGTAGATCCTGAAAGATCCATGAGACCAGAAGGCACACAATAATAATATAACAATATAAAATTCCATTTTGTTCACTTCTATTCAGCACAAACGGTGGCTGACTTATACTCATCTCTTGGAGTTACTTTTGACCTTGTGCATTTTGGTATTATATGTGTATGTTATAAATCATACACAGGAACTGGTAAGAAAGCCAATGAAAACATCAAGCTGTCAATTTAGCTTCATTGTTTCCAAGCTATGTGTTAAGATATAACTGCCGGACTTTTGTAATATACTTCCCAAAACTGATCAAAAAGGTGATTTTGATGGAAAGACCATGTATCCTTCATTGCAGGAACAGTATATTAAATGTACAGATAGAAAGGGGATGGACACACAGACACACACACGCACACACACACACCTACACACATGACCTCCTTAAGGATCAACTCACACTGGATTTTACCACTTAGATCAAATTACTTTACATGTTTGTACTTGACTTTCTTCTATAGACTGAGGCCTAATGCTTGCCTAGCATGGTTGTTAGGACTCCATGAAATAGCCTGGAGCTCCCAGCATAGCCTGGCTCTCCCATATGCTGGCTATATGACCCTCCTTACTCTACTTCTCTAACCTGACTAGTTGAGGAAATATTCAGCTAAAACTGTAAAAACATCTAAATTATAGGCCCTAAAGCAAAAGAAGTTGTAGTTAATAGAATGTTTCCAATAGGACTCTATGAAGACACAGTTCTCTGGTTCCCACATCTGACAATGGGGCAGAATATTGATAATTGGAACTATTCTGTAAAATGCAAATATTTAGCTTTCCTGGCAAGTAACCCAGATAGTTTGATTACCACAGTATTACTTGTGTTTAAATTTGCTCCTAAGTACTTCAGGTCTATTCTCAAAGCACTACTGTCCTACTTTACTTTCTTTTGCTATGATGGACACCATGATCAAAAACAATATGGGGAGGAGAGGGTGTGTTTCATCTTACAGCTCACAGTTCATCTTTGAGGGAAGCCAGGGCAGGAACTCCAGCAGGGCTGGAACTTGAAACAGAAGCCATGGAAGAACTCTATTACTGTCTTGATCTCCCTGGTTTATATTCAGCCTGCTATCTTACACAACACAGGACCATCTGCCCAGGGGTGGTACCATACACAGTGGGCTGGGCTCTTTGACATCCATCAGCAATCCAAAAATACCCCAAACTTGCCAATCTGATGGAGGCAGTCCCCTAGGTGAGATTCCATGGATAATTCTGGGCTCTGTCAAGTTGACAGTGGAAGCTACCTAGAACTGTATCTAACATTAATGTGCCCCATTCATAGAAAAGGGTCTCTATGTATGTTAAATGTCAGTTTAGCTCTAATCACTTGTTTTTACTTTCAGAGGGTTTGATTATCATGGAATTCTTCCATAAAAAATCAAACTACATGGTTTTACAAATGAATGTCTAATTTCTAACATAACATGCATCTTTCCATGCATTCTATGTATACATACATAAACTTAAGAGAGTCATGGACTGTTGATGAAGGAATAGTTAACAGAAGGGCACCTAACATGCCTCTGTGTAGAATAAAGGAGTACTGTCATCAATCCTTACCCTCCAACTCCTGCTCACATTGAATGGATTCATAGGTCCTATTACATCACGGAGCATAAGTAAGCTTGACCTGCTCTTTTAAACGCTACAGTAAGCTCTGTGGTGTGAAATCAGCCTGTGCTTTCCTTAAAATCTGATGCTAACCCAGTAAAGGGGATGTTTCTTGAACCCTTTGATGCTTATGGATCATGACTATATCAACTTAGCCATGTTCCCTGACCCAGTGTCAGGGAGTCTATGCAGATGCTGAGGAAGTAAAGATTTCTAACAGGCCACATTGCAGACATTTGCAGATGGGTTGAAAAATGGCACAAACCCACGAGGAAACCCAATAGATGACACAGTCTAAGTTCTGAAAGTTCTAATTGAGGAGATGATCTGAGGATACTGCTTTCAGGCTGTTCATGGGTATCACAATCTCTTCTTTTAATAGTAATTCTTCTCTACCGTAATTCAAAATTAAAATTGAGTTTGAATATTTTAAGTTATACCATTCGAAACAATCTTAAAATCAGTAATGGTACTGGACAGTGGTGGCACACTCCTTTAATCCCAGCACTCGGGAGGCAGAGGCAGGCAGATCTCTGTGAGTTGGAGACCACCCTGGTCTACAAGAGCTAGTTCCAGGACAGCCTCCAAAGCCACAGAGAAACCCTGCCTCAAAAAACAAAAACAAAAACAAATCAGTAATGGTTTTATATTCCATGCCACTTGAAATAGAATTAGATAACTATGAATCAGTTGCTGGTTATAGTTATTTTAATACACTGAAGTGGAAAAGGAAGGATTTAAATGCCCTGAAACAAACAGAGACATAGAGAAAGATCCTGTTTATACAGGGACAATGGGTTGAAAGGCTTCAGAACCATGTTGGCATTTTCTGTATATTTGGACCTACCTGCAATATTTATGTTTGCTTAGTTTCCAAAACATGAATTAATAGTACTAGCCTTATTGTAAGGTCAAATTAAACTATATGCAGCAAGCATTTAGAATGGTGTGAGACACCTGGTAAATGCTATGCTAGTTTAACTGCTGTGACTTTTCTTTGAAATTATCTTAGAGTCTATATTTTGCAATATAATTGAAATAATGGCTTTCAGATTTGAGGATGCTTCCAAATTCTCTGAAGGGTCTATGAAGACAGATTACTGGGCCCCAGAGTTTCTGATTCAGTAGGTTTGGATGGGACCTGGTGAGCCTGGCCCCAGAGTTTCTGATCTAGTAGGTATGGAATGGGACCTGGGGATATGCCCTTGTAATATCTCAGCTGGTGCTGATGATGTTGGTCCTGGGACCACCCCTTGAGAAACTGTGGTCTAAAGAATAGTGGCTTTTGGGGGCGGGTAGGGGAGGATGGGTGGGAGAAGGGAAATGGGATTGTCATGTAAAACAATCCTGTTTCTAATTCAAATAAAAAAAGTTGGAAAAAACATGAAAAAAAGAAAAAGAAAAAGAAAAAGAAAAAAAGAATAGTAGCTTTAATGAACCTGACTAGGACAAGTGGAGATTTAAAATATCTGTACTTTACAACCAATTATACAAACACACATACACACTTAACAGAAACAATCTTTTTACCTAGATTAAAAGTAAACAAATGCTACTTTTATAGTACAAATAGAAACCATGTAACGTTGGGGAAACTGGATGATTTTAGAGTCAGAAGTGGATCCAACCCAAACAATGCATTCTGTAAAAAAGGCACAGAAGCCTACAGGTGATGTGACTAGCTCAAAGGTATTCACCTGTGCAAATATCAAAGCATGGTCAGACCTGAGTGTTCTGGCTCCTACCCAAGAGCTCCTTCTACTTAACTCACTTGATTATTGGTAGCCTGTTGGAAGAAATATTTGAAGGCCCAGACTGAAGTATAATCCATGTGGGCACAGGGCAGTGCTGCCTGTCCCAGAACTCAAGACTCACTGGGTAGTAGGGAGGTTCCATATTGCCTCATCATGCAGATTCTATGTAGAGAATTCAACCCTACACAGATCAGTTCCAATGAATAGAATGGCCTAGCAGTTGGTAGGCTTTCTTCCTTCACATAGCTCTCCACTCAGTGTGTCTGGAGAAAGCCTCTGCTGTGGAAATCTGTTCTCCAAGCATTACAGCTGTTATCACCACCTGGCTAGTCCCCAGTAGCTGTGACTATTCACAAGCATCCATCAGGCCTGACCCGTTGACATTCCTCATAGAAGGTGGGGGTGGAGAGGCCATTAGACTAAGATTCCAGTCACCCTTTCCTACACCCTGTATGCAATTCTTCCCAAGCGGCATGTGCTCCAGAAGTGAGGTCTCTACAGTGAGGAAGGTTAGCTAAAGCAGACTCCATGTGTGCAGCTTTAAGGAAGCCGTTTATGCTGGGGGAGACTTGGGTGATTCAGACATTTGGGGGTCACCTACACTCCTGCAAGTAACCCCAATAAAACTCATTACTTTGGTGCTTGTCTTAGTTAGGGTTTTATTGCTGTGAAGAGACACCAAAACCATGGCAACTCTTATAAAGGAAAACATTTAATTTAATTGGGGTGGCTTATAGTTCAGAAATTTAGTCCATTATTGTCGTGGTGGGAAGCAAGGCAACATGCAGGCAGACATGGTGCTGGAGCTGAGAGTCCTTACATCTTGATCCAAAGGCAGCAGGAAGTGGACTGTCTCACTGGGTATGGCTTGAGCATATATGAGACCTCAAAGCCTGCCTCCACGTGACACACTTCCTCCAACAAGGCCACACCTCCTAATAGTGCCACTCCCTTTGGGGGCCATTTTCTTTCAAACCACCACAGTGCTTTATCTGGGGAAAGTGGATGTTGTGTTCTGCACACAAAAAGTTCACACAACACCTTCCTAAACAATTCAGGACACCAGTTAATAAAGAGATGACTTTGTTATACCTTCCCATTTGAGTTTTACAACCCAATGTCACAAGTTGGCTTTCACGGTGATGTATCTTAGGTTAGTTAAACAACGTTATCTGGATTTCACTGTGAAGAAGAAAGGCTCTTAATATACTGTTCTATACTATTCCAGACCACAAGAGGAGTATTGGAAATAATTATTTTAAAGAAAAGTGTGAAACTGAGCCCCAGAGTTCTCTAATTATCTCTCCCTCTCCTCCCTCTCCCACCTCTCTCTCCCACCACCACCCATGTCCCAGGTTTGGTGAAACAGGAAACTGAGTGTTCCTATGGTCAGGTGCTTGTAGGGAAGAACTGGCTGGTCCCAGGGTTGGGGGAAGTCTCCACTAGTCTTCTGGTTGTTTAGTGCCAATGAAAAGGGGGGCTCTGTGTAGGGAAAAACTAACTGTTCCTAAAGAAAGGTCTGGCCTTTGCCCTAAGCTACTGAGGGATGATGTCTAAGCCCCTGAAATGTCCTGCCTGACAGAAGTGTCTGAACAACAAGACAGTCTAAGAACAAACACAGTTCACAGTGGGGTTTTGAGCTGCCCTGTGTCAGCTATGATGTCCGGCGGAACCAGAGCCTACACAGTGTGCAATCAAACTCTGGGTAGAAAAAGCTCAGGTAAGTGTCTCCAGTTGTGCCTGGAAGGAGGTGATGAAGCCCACAGACCCTTCTGGGATGGCCCCAGGAGCGTGCCCTATGTATTGCTCTACTTGGCTAATTTTCATCTTTCTTTTCACTATGACAGATCCTAATGACAAGTGTAACACATCTCTGAGGTCCATGAGTCTTGCTCACAAACAATAGAATGTGAGGGTGTCTTGGGACCCATAAGCTCATAGCCAGTTTGTGTGACGTGAAGGTTGCCCTGAAGATTCATAACCTGCAGTTGGTGTCAGAGTGAGGGCACTAGTGGGGTCTGTCCCCTCCCATGTTCCAGTTGGCTAAACTCATCACAGGGTAAACTGCTGAGAATGATACAAGCTACAGTTTTTAGATCCAATTCCTAACAGGGATCTATGAAACTGGTGAGTTTAGGGCTTGTGTTTCTTCTAGAAGTGACTGACCTTTCAGGCAATTATTTTAAGCCTTAGTCAAAAGGAGCTAAATATGAGATAGAAGTTATGGTGAGGAAACATCTTAAAGTGACCATATCTAAACTTGGAAAAAACAAAATAGCTATTTCAGAAAAATATGTTTAACTGTCACAAACTGAAGAAGATTTTGATCGCTTTCTCTCTAGATTATAAAGACATTTCCCTGAGTTTTCATTTGTATATTGATTTGTAGTTCAAGTTATCTTTAATGTTTGGTGTGTGTTCCCAGACAAGTAGTGAATATTTCATCTTAAGAAGCACAGGGCCCCTATTTTACTTTCTCTTCGAATTCCTTGAAACCTCCTAATGAATCTGTCTCTCCCCCCATAACCCCAAGTCACTGACTTTAAACATTTCATAATATATTTTTAAATGCTGTCCTGAACACCTGAGCCAGCTAGTGCAGCTACTCAGGAGGCTGAAGCAGGAGGGTCACAAGTTCGAGACCTGCCTGAACTTCAGAGTGCACTGAAAGACAGCTTAATTTAATGACCAGCTGGTCTCAAAGTAAAAGGAGGGCTGGTGGTGCAGCCTAATGGTAGTGCACTTGCTTAGCGCTCACCTAGCATGCTCTGTGTTCAACCCCCACACGAAGCTCTACAGGGTAATTGTGTTTCCTGTTGTGAGACCGAGAGTGAACGGCGGTGCTGGGGGCGGCACAGGTTTCGGGGCTCGCAGGGAGGTCTGGGCGGCCGATGGCCGGGCGGGTTTCCCACCTGGATTAGGATGGTTCCGATGGGGTCGTTGCCCTCCTGAGCCTGTGCCATGGCTGGGGCGGCTGAGGACTCTAGTCCCGGGAGGTGCCGCCTCCCGAGAGCTTTTAGGAGGCGGGGACGCCAGTCCCCATAGCAACGCGGCGCGCGACCGGCGCGCTCCACTGGAGAAGCGGAAGGGGATGTGCTAGCTGCCGCAGCTCAAGGCTCAGCGCGTCCTCGCAGCGTCTCCCCCTCCGTCGGCCGCCGTGGTGCGGTCCAAGGCGGAAGCGGCGCCGGCTCGGAACTGCTCTGCTGCAGCCATGGCTGCTGGTGTCCCCTGCGCTCTGGTCACTAGCTGCTCCGCCACTTTCACCGGAGACCGGTTGGTGCAATGTGAGTAACCGGGCGTCTGGGCCGAGCTGCAAGGCCCAGCTCGGAGCGACGGACTTAGGGCCGGCGGCCTCTCTCTGGCCCTCCCAGCGCTGGGCCCCGGGCTCCGGCTCCTGCTCAGGTGTCTGCACCGGCGCTTAACCCTCTTCCTGTATAAAGTGAGGCCAGTCTCTGACCTCCAGCTTCAGGGGTGTGACAAGCAACCCCTAACTGGACACTCAAGGCCCTGGAAATTGTGCCCCTCAGCGAATGTTAGGCGCTGGAGTTGCGGTGTTGTGGTTTGGAGGTGATGCCCCTGCTGCTAGGGTGATATGTTTCCTCTTGTGCACTGAAGTGCTCAGGGGGAAAAAAAAAAGATGCTAAATGTCCTGCCAAGATGAACGACTGACCAGAACTCCTGTGATTGTGGAGAGCTGGAATTATACTAACTGTAGCTCTTGGGCTAACTTTAGGCCCCTCCTTAGCCATTTGTTGCCTACCTCTGTGTGACCTAGTATCCTTGTGACTATCAGGTAAAATCCTTTTGGAGATAAGCAAACAGACCCATAGCTTCCACCAGCCCAAAGGTTAAGAATGCTATCAGATAGTATCTGAGGCCTACAACTGAGGCTTACCCGATTTACAGTAATCCACCTACCTGATGTTCCCACCGATGTATTTTTAAAACACCCTGATTTATGGCGTTTTAAAATTGTTACTATAAAAACGCCATGAAATTGTTACCATGTTGGAACATGGTATTTGTGGCAACCCCAATTCCTGTTCCCTGTCCGTGATCACTCATATTTGGCTCCAGAATAGAGCATTCCTGACTTGGATGGATGGATAGATAGATAGATACATACATACATAGATAGATCATAGATAGATAGATAGATAGATAGATAGATAGATAGATAGGATGGACTTGTTGGGTGCCCCCTAACTTGCAGTTAAATGTTTTAACTTACTCCTGAGGTGCAGGTTCTCCAGCAAAGTGAGTTCAGGGTATTACTGCGCCCAGTACTTTTGCTTCTGGTCCCTAAGCATGGCTGTAAAATTTGGTTTGTTTTTTTTGTTGTTGTTGTTGTTTGTGGGGGGTGGGTTCAAGACAGGGTTTCTCTGTGGCTTTGGAGGCTGTCCTGGAACTAGCTGTTGTAGACCAGACTGGTCTCAAACTCAAGAGATTTGCCTGCCTCTGCCTCTTGAATGCTGGGATCAAAGGCATGCACCACCACTGCCCAGTTCAAGTGTTTTTTCTTTGCGGTATGTGTTTTTTGTCTTTTAATTCCCAGTGCCCTGTGCATAGGACAGTGTACCACTGAGGTAGATACACCCCAGCCCCAAAACTAATGAGCCCTGAAATGTAGATCATCATATAGACTAGTGAGGTAAGAAAAGCTAAAGAACCAGCTCACGGCCAGTTCTGTCACCCAAGAACCTTGTGAGGTTGAGTTGTATGTAACTCATGACTTCTGTTTTAAACATGTGGTATTGACTCTTTACCGTATGACTGTGGGCAATTCACTTAACCTCTGCCCCTCAGGTTCCTATCTATGGGATGAGGGCAATTCTTAGAGGATTGTGTTTCACCAGAGGCTAGCATGTGGTAAGCATTGATAAGTGATTGACATTATTATAAATGTGTATCATCTGTTTAACTCAGGGTTTGCTGATCTATAAAGGGAGTAAGAGGGTATATGAACAGGTGTTTCAAGAGACAGTTGATGTTGGTTTGCAAATATGTCATAACCTGTAAAGCATTATGCAGTTTGTAATTATTTTTTACACCTGTTGACAGAATTAGGCAAGCTGTCCTTCCAGCACAGATATTTTATAATTTGCTTATTGTGAACATGTAGAAAGTTCCTAACTAGAGTAAAAGCTTAATTACAGCACTTACTAAATGGTAACCAAACTCTCTGCCATTCCCTTACTTCAAGCAATTCTCCTCCTTCCCTCCTGCCAGGTCTCCTGTCCTTTCCCCTATATTGTTTCATGTTAGGTGCATATTCTGAAAATAAAATTTAGCATATGGAGGAAAAATGTTAGCCAACATTTTGGTGGTGTGCTCTGCCGTCTCCCCTGACCCCTTGCATACTTTCTGTATTTTGTAATTATTGTAATTATATACATCTACTTCATATGGAGTTTTTAGCCTGGGGTGTGTGTGCTGTGGGGATGGATCCCAGGGTCTTGCATGTGCTGAGCAACTGCTTTACTACTAAGTCATACCCTCATCCCCTGTCCTGATATTTGTTTTTTACATTAAGTCAAAAATTACTTTCTGTTGTACATCCATATAGTGAATATACCAGAATTTTCTCAAGGTGTTTATGAGTCTATATTTATCTGACTTTCTATAAGATTTATATGCAGTTAGTGATAGTTTTTTAAAGCTAGGCTCAGGAATATTCTATATTCTGATAGCTATGGTACTCTGTCTCCCTCTCACCCAACAGCAAGATCTTGCTATGTTTCCTAGGCTGGCTCTGCACTTGCAAGCCTAGTGTTGGGTCCACAGGTTGGTAGCACCAGGCCTGGCCCTGCCCTGTCCTTCAAAGATCAGAACTGGCAAATATGGTCAGTACCTTGAAGGAACTGATTACCAGGAACTGGCAAATGGTGGCATTCTTCCACTGTTCTTCTATGGAGACTTTTAACATTCTTGGGGGTAAAATTCTGTGAAATCACTCAGTTTGTTTCTGTATGTAGAGTGTCTTTAGTAGCTCCAATTCTTGTTAAAATTAGGTGCCACTCATTAATGCCCCACTAGTTAGGAAGGCAAGAGCAGAACAGTTAGATTATTTGAGTAAGAGAAGCATAGAGGGTTGGAGAGATGGCTCAGCGGTTAAGAGCACTGGCTGTTCTTCCTAGAGGTCTTGAGTTCAATTCTCAGGAACTATATGGTGGCTCACAATCATCTGTAATGAGATCTGGCGCCCTCTCCTGGTGTGCAGGCTTACATGCAGGGAGAACAGTGTATGCATAATAAATAAATAAGTCTTAAAAAAAAAGAAAGAAAGAAAAGAGAGAGAAAAAAGCATAAGAGATGGCTTGTCAGATCTCCCAAGGTCTTGGGGATGGAGACTGCAGATAGCATTAGGATGAAGTGTTTACGTGGCATTTACTGTTTTACCATCATTAAAGACTGAGTTACATTATTGGGGGGGATGAATTTAATTTAGGAATAGAAGATAGAGACTACCAAAATGAATGAATGCCTTTGGTCTAGTTAGGACACAGGTCTTGGGTTGAATCTGCTATACTTTGAGGGGAAGGTTTTCTTGGTCTGGAAGAGGAATCCTGTCTCTGTCATAAGTCTTTCCATATCTGATCTGTTTTACCGCTTCTAACCAACAACAGAAAGTATTTTGTAATCAAATATCAAGTTTGTTAGAAATCCCCTTTGATAATCAGTAGTCCTTAACTGTAGACAGAATAGAGTACCCAAATGGACTTTGTCAAAACTGTATTTGTAGTACTCCAGTTAGATACATACATAGCTAAAGGAGGCCTTCTTGTCCTACACTGTTGACTTTTAGTAATTTTTAATTCCATTTATTTATTTGTGGGTAGTGCACATATGAGGGTCAGAGGACAACTTGTGGGAGTTGGATCTCTTTTCCTTGCATGGGTCCCTGAGATGGAGCTCAGGTCGCCAGGCCTGTCTGCAGGCCCCTTTACCTGCTGAGCTATCTCTCACCAGTCCTACAACACCCACCATTAGAAGGAAGCCAAATCCCAGTACACTTGAGGAACTTGTGCAAGGTGTGGCCTGAGAGCAACTGTCTGTGCTTCAGGCCAGGATTCCTTCTGCCTGGAGTGTATTTTGTGAAGCTAATACTTTTATTCTGGAAAGGTGTGATCTGGCTAATGTGTATCAAACATGGAGCTAGTGTCTGTTCTACTTAACACTACTAAAATCATGACTCTTTAAGCTACTATTCCTACCCTCAAGAGGAATGTTGTAAAAACATGTCCTTTACTGTGAAAACTGTAAAATGTTAAGAGCTAACATCTTATTCCTACAGAAGGCACTCAGAAGAACCCCACAGTGGTTTAGTTTTAAAATGGGATGCCAGCCCAGCAACAATAGGCCACTTCATGTCTACATCTGGACAAGCTTCCAGAACATCTGGAGCAAAATTCTTTCAATTATTGCCATGCAGAAATTTAGAGATCTTACAATAGTACTTATGTGTATGTAGAACTCTTCCCAAGTGTGTTTTTAATAGGGGTGTGCGCAGGTGCAGGCGTGCCAACGAAGCCAGAAGAGGGCGTTTGTTGGATGTTGGATCCCTGGAGCTAGAGTTATAAGCAGTTGGGAGCTACCCTGTGGGGCCTGGGAATTGAACTCAAGTCCTCTGGAAGGTCTGAACGTGCTTCTAAGTGCTGAGCCATTTTTCTAGGCACCCTCAACTGTGTTTTTTAAAAAAATATAATTTACTTTAGTTATCATAATTGCAATAGGATAGGTTATTTCCATTTTATGATGAAGAAACTGGTGTGGAGATACAAGGTTTGGTTTGCCCAAAGTGCTCAGGCAGTAACTGCTGCCGTGTGTTCATGGTCAAGTCTTAGCCCAGAGGAAGGTACAGCTGAACTGTTTTGTTATTCCGTAGTAGTCAGAACTACTTTAAGGTGGCTGCTTTGGAGTAAGAAATGATAGAGAGGACTAATACCTACAGACTCTTAAAATATGCTTTCATTGCTATCTGGAATGGTTGAAGACTTAATTTTGAGTGGAAAGGGGGAAAAATCTGCCCAGAGAATATATATTATATTAAAAATAAAGCATTATTAGCCGGGCATTGGTGGTGCACGCCTTTAATCCCAGCGCTCAGGAGGCAGAGGCAGGTGTATCTCTGTGAGTTCGAGGCCAGCCTAGTCTCCAGGGCGAGTGCCGGGATAGGCTCCAAAGCTACACAGAGAAACCCTGTCTCAAAAAACCAAAAAAATAAAAAATAAAAATACATTATTTAACAAAGGAAGTGTGTGTGATGTATTAAATATACAATAAA